AAAAGGCTGGATTTTATGAAAACCCGTGTTTCCTTTAGCATTTAAAAAAACCGGAAGTGCGCCCGATATCTATTGGAAGTTACCCTATCAGCGCGTGCGCAATTTACACTACCAGCGCACTTCGGTAAGATCAAACAAAGCCACACNATATATATATATATATATATATATATATATATATATATATATGCGGGGTAAACGTCTAAGAAAAGAGAAAGCCAAACTAACGCTTTGCAGATGCACAACCTTGAACAAAATAACAACTTTTTCTCAAGGAAGTGCAAATTAAATTTGCATCATTATTTGCTTATCAAGAGCATGTAAAGTTCATGTTTATTATTATATGGCTTTATCAAGGAACGTAAATCAAAACGGGGTGCACAATCTTTGTTGCAGCAGTTTGAAAGAGATATTTTTTCTTGAAACCCCAAGCTATTTTTTTGGCATTCCAGAATCATATTTTGCTTAGCTTCACTGTAGTACTATACTCACTAATTGTAAAGCTCTTAAGGGCCCATTAGCCGATCTTTTCGAGCCGTTGCTAAGGAAAATTTAGTCTCATATAACCTCATCATTTTTAGTTAATTCAGAGTTATTTCATGTGTTTCAACTTTTTCATGATCAGTAACACTAGTGATGACGTCATCAGGCCACGCCCATAATCATGTGACTAATACAGAAAAAATGCAAAGGCTCCCAGGCAAATTACTTTCTCGGGATTTTTTTCATTGATTTAATATTTTGATTTAAATCCTCATTACGCTATGCATCGATTTTGTTCCATTTCTAAAAGGTCAGATTTTGAGATAGTGAAAAATTCGTAATTTTCTGAAAAAGGCATGATTTCGAAAAAGGAATGCATAGCTATGTTGCCAACGTTGGCTTTAATCGAAATTCGTCGAAAAAGGCTGGATTTAATGAAAAACCGAGTTTCCTTTAGAATTTAAAGAAACCGGAAGTGCGCGCGATATCTATTGGAAGTTACCCTATCAGTGCGTGCGCAATTTACACTACCAGCGCTCTTGTTTTTCTGTCTTTCTCTTATTTTGTCTTTGCTTGTACTTTTTATACTTTGCATTTTGCGAACCACAAAGAAAAACATCTAAAATGCATGCGAATTTGCAAGTTTTTGAGTTGTTTTTATTTTCCGCGCTCAGGCTGACGTAAATGACCGAAAGTGAAATTTCACTTCCTTAGCAACGCGCGCGAGCGTGCGCATGAATCGGTTAATGGGCCCTTAATATGACTGTTGCTAATCAATGGCGGAAATTCTTATTTATTGAAAATGGTTTTCTTGCGATCTCTAACAACTGCCGACATTTACTGGCAAATGCTACTCAGTTATTTAAGTGGTTTATAATGGCCAGTTTCACTTAATACAGTTCAAGGTAATTACGCGAATATTTTTCTTGAAAATAACTGAAATATTCTACAAATTGAACTTCGCTTCTCTTGACTGTTTAACTCGGCCTCTCTTAGCAGTAAAGGCTTGTGTAAAGGAATATGTAAAACAAAGGACCTTGCTTTGCCGTGGATAACAAACGTGTCGGCATCCCGGGGATATTACTGAATCGGCTGACCATAATTTCTTCAATCAGCCCTGCTTTGGTTACAGAGAAACGTAATTGATGTTCAGTAAACAATTCATATTTGACAACTAGGTAACAACTCTAAAAGTTCATTAAGCGACAGTTGTTAACATCGGCAATCGTTTTTAAATCCGTGCTAATCGCATTGCATTGTTATGCTTATAGAGTCGGTAGTTTTAGAAAATTAATAAAACTTGCAGTTTAAGGTAAAAACAGTAACGCCTTAGGAACTGATTAGGTGTAATAAAATCCAAATGGAGACATAACTCACTCTCGTTAGCCAGCAATGTTCTTTGCTAATTGTCAGTCTGCCCTGTATTTCTTTAAAACGTTTGAAAACGTATTATTACAATAGGAAGGTATCCTCTGGCTGACGATTGTATTTATTCTCACCACCTGCCTTCTTGGAAACGTACTGAGAAATAAGATTTCGATCATCTCTTTTCGCTACTTCCATAATCAAAGGTGAAGTGAGTCATTTGGAATCTAACATCTGACTTTTTGTCAATTCCAGGAACCTTTGCAGTGAAGTCAAAATACGTGTGTCAAGGTCAGAGGTTACGCTTGCGTTGTGAAGGCGACTACATAATCCGCATACTTGGGGCCAAGTATGGACGCTTGGAGCCTGGAAGCTCCATCTGCCCACATGAGAACATCACCGATATGAATTGTCGAGCGCCTGATGTACTTCTCAAAATGACTGTGAGATGTGGCAACAAACGCAAGTGTACCGTTAAAGCAGATCACACAATGTTCGGAGATCCTTGTCCTGGGACTTTCAAATATCTGGACGTCATCTACAGATGCAGTAAGTTCATATTTATTGCCTCTATTCTTTTAATTCTTTAATTTTCCAAGCTCTCTTGTCAAGAGGCAGGTTTCTCTCGTACCTCCGTTAACAAACAATCCTTTATTTGAAAGTGTTCATTCGGATACTCAGTGACAACAGCAAACTAGAAATATATTCAGGTAAGCTTTCTTATATTTTCTCAACTTGCCGAGTGGAAAAGGTTATCACTTAATTTCCTTCCGCTTTGCTCTTACTCTGGGATGTTTGTACATTGAGAGAATTCTAACATATACCATACAGATAACTGTAACTAGAGTTGATCCTCATCTAACTTTGTAAGTGTGGGGCAGTTTCAGAGTCGAGACGCTAAAAACAAGGTCATTGTATCCAACCAATCATAGAAATCAAAGCATTAAAGGAAGAACAACCAATCAAACTGGTGCGAAAATTGAGTAAGCTCGATTAGCTTTGGTTTTGTGTCTCATCGTTGAAACCATTCCGTTGCAAAGTTCAGAAACGGTAAAACTGATTGTAAATCCATTACTCATTTCATTACAACTGAAAACCACTATAACTTTTAACTGACTCCGTTTAACAGTTCCTGGCGATACATGGACCCCAACGCCAACGTCAAAACAGCCAGAATCAAACCACCATAGTAATCGGACAAATACAGAGACACCGAAGTCACCAACACCGAAAACAACACACCCTGCGAGTACCAACGCCACAACAGAAACACAAGCACCAACTTCAAAAAGCTCAACAAAAACTGTCAACGAGACAATAGGATCAAACAAAACTAGAATATACCTCACTACGATAAAGCCTACCACTTCCAGCTCGAGAGGAAGGCTGTCTACTGGGACCACGGAACAATCACCTCCAAAGGCGCCAGAGTCGGAGGCCTCAGAGAGCCGAGGTGAGGGGTGGGCCTTTATAGCCCTGCTGAGATCTCTGTACTTCACATACCTGTTAATCAAAGGTACGCAATTAAAGAACCTGAGCGCTAACGTTGCAGTCACATGAGTCAAGACAGTTGTAATGAAATATTTGTTTCAATGTTTTCTGATATCTTGTTGAAGTATAAAACAACTCGGTTCTTTGTTTCAAAACATTTCTTAGTGGTTTCTGGTGTAAGATGAAGAGGGCCTCTGCATAGAAAGTGCGAGGAGATCGTGCCGGACCATTAAACAATCGTGACGGAAAAGGAAATTTGGGCGAACATGGCGAAAATATACTGTTCTAAGAGGAAGCAAGGCTAATTTGTTTTGATTAGGAATGCAATTAGTTTGAAATTGTACGGGTGTTGCATACTTGAAAGTTACGTCAATTTTATAGGGAAGCTTAATTTGAACTTGAACAACATACTATTCCAAGGCTTTACTTTGTGCCCTGTCTTGTCCCTTATACCCAAATTGCTGCAGTAAATGTAAAGTGATCTACGGTCGAGGACCCTTCTGCCGTAAATCATCTTGTGACATAAGCTTCGTCGGTGAAGAACATGTCGTTTGCAGAATGCAGTTCTGGACAGCAGTGGAAGCTAGACAACCAATACATAGTGGTAAAACATTCAATATCCGGGTCCCTTTTAAATAGAAACAGGGCATCCTATTCCAAAGCTTAACGTTCCTCATTTGTGTCTTGCTTCCTTATAGGGATTATCAATGCATGAAGTGCATGTGACTGTGACGTCAGTGCCAGGGTGGCACTGTAGAGATATCAGTTGATAACGTGTGTATTTTGTGTCGGTAACACGTTAACATTCTTGTTTTTGAAGTAAAATTCATCATAAAATTCTAAAAGTAATATTAAATTCGAGATTAAAACTAAATACAAAAAAATAAATAAATTGAAATTGTTCCTATTCAATTTCAAGCGACCAGTGATTGAAGTCCTTCTAAAAAGAAAATGAAATATATCATAACCCAATTTGTTGTCCGTTGTAAAACAAACATTTCTAGGGGTATTTTTAAAATAGTCGTTGCCAGTAAAAGTCTGACATAACACTGTTACCAGCTTACAGTCCTGTTAAAAACGACTGAAACTAATCTTTTAAAAAATGAACTGAGATTTGATTAGAATATAATGTAATATTCCTATACCTGGTCCTGGTTCTCTACTGTGCCACATTCTGCGTCTAAGGTAAAACAATTATTCCCTTTAATTGTAAAGAAACCATTAGGGAGAAAAATCATGAAATAATTAATAGACCAGCAAAACTTAATCAAAGCCATAAAATGTGTCGCAAGAACATTTTTCCTTAAACTTTCCTTAATTTTTCATAACAACGGAGGAAGGCTTTTTTCCTAAAGGTTTCTTATGACTGAGCTTGTTATTAATATTTGTTTACCTGTATTATTTTTCTGTACCTTACAATTAAACACACACTGATGAATAGTGCTTGATCAAGGTTATGTTTAAGAAAATTGAAAAGGAGTCGTGAAAAATATATATCGAAGTTAACTTACCACAACTCCGGGGAAACTGACTTTAACCTTAAATTATCAGATACTGAGACAAAATTGAAATGAATGTGCTAAATGAGTATCGCAAATACCTTTTTCACGGTTTGTTTGTTTTTTTTGTTTATTTCAATCGTGATATAGTCTAACGTGAATGTGAGGCAATTTCAGGCAATTTTGTAGTTTCTTTCCGAGTGAAACTGCCTCGCTTATCCGTTTAGATTTGTTATAGAGTAAATGAGAAAAAATTGACCGTGGTATGGACTATTATGTAGTCATCATTGTGAATTTTTATACCGTACAATGTTTTGAATATTTTCATTAGCCGCCACTTTTCGAAAAGAAAAAAATCCAGACTCTAAATTATCTATTTCGGTGCAACAAAGACATTTTGGGAGGCCTAAAGCTGACGTGACAAATTTGAAATACTCAGCATATTGCATAAGACTAGCAGCTCTCGTAAGCTTGTAATTTTCATTGTCAACATAGTGTAGCAGCTGTTACTGTTTTAGGGCTAAGTGCATTGTTTCTGTTGTTTGTTTTAATTGTTCTCTCAAAGGGTATTAAGCCATTCATGTGAGACCTTACGAGAACTGCTACCTGACCCCATATTTTGGTATTAAAAAATACATATATGTATGCAAATTTTATACACATTTCATACATATTGTTTGCAGAGAACCCACGTCACACTCTCGTCGTGTTCCTCTCAGGGGTAGCTGGTGCCACTGTTTTCTTGCTATTGTTCTTGTTAGCCATTCGTCTTTGCAAGAAACAGCGAAAGAAGAAGAAATTCTCCATGAAGAACAGAAAGAGAGACGAGGAAGACGAAGGAAACAAAATTAAAAGTGTTACGATAGAATTACAGGGCAGCGACGACGAAACAAAAGAAATCAACGTTAATCCGGGAGATATCATTATTATAGACCACAATGACGTTGATCGAGCAGGCAGCGAGGACCTTGGATATCTGTCGGAAATTGTCCGGTTTTATAATAGTCAAAACATTGGAAGTGACGATCAGATATCGATTAGAAAGCAATTTTCCATTTGCGACAGTCCGTCAGTGATATCCACGGAGGCGAGTGAAAGTAGAGACAGTAAGCATGACTCAGTTGGAATGAAACAATGTTCGTGTCAGCATGGTTCGTTGCTACGTCCTTCCTCTCCACTAGGTGTTATTTGAGAATTTTAAACCCAGTACAGTTTTAGTCTACAACAATACTTCGTCGGTTTTTTTTATTGAGGACAGAAAATTGATGATTTAGCTTCTCCGTGAGGTAACCTAAAACTGCAATCTACGAATAACTGGAAAAAACAGCGTGGCACGAGAAATAAGCAGAGAAACACTGGAAAATCTCCCAAGCACCCTTATTCTAATTGCCATTTAGAAAATGACCATCTCAGTTTTGTGTAGGTGATTTTCTTCTGTTTTTACTTCAAGGGATTTGTTACCTTGTAGCTGCATTTGAGCAAATCTTCTCTTTCTGGAAATTTATTAATCACTTCTATGATTTCCTATTTTTTTCCCAAAAAGCATAAACTAACTTTTTCTAAGTTTAAATGCATTTTACAAGTTTATGTTCTATATTCTCAGGCAGGCCTGGAGTAGACAAAGAAAAACTTGATCTTGACTTATTATGACATAACTTATTTTGATATACAAAATTTGGTATTGTTCCTTAAAGAAACTGGTTTTAATTTAAAAATTATAACTATATGCTGTTAACTAGCTTACTCCCTTTTTTATCAGGAAGGCCTCAACCAAACAAATTTTTTTACCCCTTACATTACCCTTATGTCTCAACAAACTCGGAAGGCCCCATGAAAATATTTTCTTAAAAAAGGAACCAAAAGTCAGATGTCAGTAACGCAATTTAAGAGTCTGTAAGTGATAATGTGCATGTTAAGAAAAGATTCAAAAGTTTGATAAGCCTGAAAAACAATGCCAAGATGGGTGGGTACGGATTTCAGTATAGTTAGTCAAAGCCGTGTATTGTTGTAGTCATCTGTTCATCAAAGCTATGCATGTGGACCTGTTGATAAGCAGAAAACTTGTCCCTGGTCAAAGAATCGTCCCCCATACAAAGTCAGCTCGCGCCAGAGAACTTTTAATACAATTCTTTATAAAGAGTAAGGAGCTATTTCTACGACAAATCACAAGCTTGACTCGGGGGCTAGGATGACCCTGGGTGGAGGGTCACTCGCTTACAAGAAAAAGTGACTTTGGAGGGTCAGCTTGTCTTTTCTATGGACTTATAAGCAGGTCTTTGGTATCGTAAAGTTGAGGTGCTCATTTCTAAGAAGCATGAAACACCTTTAAATGCGTCGAGTGGTACGTATGACGTCAGGAAGAAAAAAAATGGTAATGAGCAAATCGACAAATTTTCCCTTTCTATTCACGTGGATTGAACCTGTCTGGTAGCGAGGATGGAAACGGATAGTAATACAGATAAGAATCTAGGATCTTTTTAGGTTACGTTAAGAAAGGTTCTTATGTTTGCAAAGTCTATTCAGAATTTAGACTAATTAGGTCTTTAAATAAGCTCCTATTTTTAAGTGGAAAGGTGAGATGCTTACTGCACGTTTAAATTGTATAATTAAGTACAAAAAGTAAGACTACATTCCAAGGAAATACACACACCAAGATATATTTCTAATCTTTTTGTGCTCAATACACTGCCACATGTTTTCCAAATACGATTCTAAGCAAGGACCTGTTCCAAACGGCAGGCTCAACAGGTTCTTATAAAATGAGAATTAAAATCCTAAAACTTTAGCTTTCAGGTTCTTAATCACAAGGTCCACATGGGCGGGAGTCCACTGCATGTACCAGCCGGGAAAAGCGAATATCACGTTTTCAAGTTGCCTCCATCCGCCGATATTACACAAAATGTCTTGCTACTTGAAATGCTCTTTCTGCAACTTGGATTGACTCTTGCATAGATTTAACTTGGATTTCTTTCTGTAAACACTGTATTGACAGTCAAAAAATGTAAATATTTTTATTTTTTTATTGACACATATTTTATGCAAATAAAATGTAATTACATTATTAATCGAGTCTGGATTAAATCTTTCTAATTAAGTCTGGATAAACTTATAACTGACCTGTATCAAAACAACTGTTACATCAAAGGAAAATACTGGAGAATTTCCCACCTGGTTTATATTTTAGAGATATTGACGAATACCGTCACACGAGCGCCATCGAGGTGCTTTTGGGGCTCGATTTTCGAATTAAGTCAATTTTTGGTCCATGTTGAACAAATTCGACAGTGCTTTTCGAAAAGCAACAACCATAACACACAACAGTTCAATCGACGTTGTAACTCCAGTTAAATGGTTATATGGTTACATGGTTAAGAAGTCGTAAAAGGCCGATTTAAGGGGAATTTTTTTCTTGGGACCCGAGAATGTCCCCACTAACTGAACAGACCCCACAGTGCTTGTGTGTTTCCATATCTACGTTCCCGTGAGTAGGCTGGGGTGAACTCAATCGACTTTGTAACTTCAAAGTTCTGGAAAGATCTCTCAAATCTAACTGCCTAAGGCTAAGCTTAATGCGTACTTCCTTGAGACCGGTTTTGTCAAACAAAACAAAACAAAACAGGAAGAAAAGGAAAAATTACATTAAAGTTCAGTAATTGATCTTACATTTTTCCAAAAAAACAAACAAAAAAAACCATTGACAGGGGCAACAGTTGTCGAAAAATTAATTTTGTTTTGCAGTGGAGATCTGTATGAACATTTACAATGGCGAGCAGAAAGCCAGCTTTCGTAACTAACCACACAGAGCCGACGCGAATAGTTTTTATTGCATCACAGTTGTGAAGTGAAGTTGTAGTATTTGTATATGAACACCATGAAAACGTGTATTGGTATGAAAACAATAAAATGATGCAATCAGTTGGTCCCAAGAGGGCTGGAAGATCAGATAAGCAAGGGACTTTGCAATTTGATCACCGGTTAGTGACCTTTCCAGCGGTTAAAAGTGCTGCACTGGCTACGAAGCGTCGTTGGATTTTCGACCTCCAAAATCCTCAGCGCTAGCGGAGGAAGATTTTTGTTCTGCTTAACAAGGTTAGACCAAAAAACAGTTAGTGCAATAAGAAGTACGTTGATGAGATACTTGATATTTAGGCGCGGTGGTGACGGGCCAGGGTAAATTTATGCAGACAGTAAAAGCTGGATAAAATATCGGCGGAAATTATCAAATTTTTGCTTTTAGAATTCATTGCCGAAGTCACCAATCAGCGTTGGCAGTCGATATATGCTGAAACATCTGTCTTTACTTGTTCGTCTCTCCTCGAACTTAAGAGTCGAGGATCATGTTTGCACATGTTTTTCGTAAGTTGCTGAAAAATTAATACACTCATTCCATTTTCTTACCAGAGTCAAGATGTTTCGGAGCATGCTTGATGCTGAGAGGAAAGACGCAGCAGAAAAGTATAGATAAGACGCCTAAAATGAAGTCAGAGAACAAGTAACTACATGGAGCCGGTGAGCGTTGGTATGGGAAATCTTTGGCCCTCACTTGGTGTTCCAGCATAAGTGAAGAGAGCTGATAATGGGTAACCTGAGCAAAAATTTCCACCAAAGAATTTTTAAATACTCCGCTAGCATATATGATACGTAAACAATGAGCTATTTACGCTACAGACCTTCCCTTATGCATAATGTTTCAGGAAGCCGCCATGAGGGTTCTACCTTTATACTGCAAATTAGCCATGCCGTCTACCAGGGGATTAAACAATGGAAAAAGGGCAGTTCTTGGAAAATCGGCTCGTCCAAAAAGTGAAAAGTGTGCAAAATGACTTTTGAGAGCCAAGCTTTGGAATATCGATTTTATTATTTAAGGTTAGTTTGGAATAGTTAATCGATATCTTGACTAAAAAATTGAGCCGAAATTGCCTAAAATATAGAGTATTTTATACTACTGTACAATGCTTAAAGCATAATACGGCGTCGTAAATCTTACTAAATAGCAAACCAGTTGAAATTTCGTTATTTTAATTTCTCTGCCCCCTAAGAAATCGCGTGTCTAATATACATTATGTTATGTAAACAAACTTGGCAGCCATCATGAATAAGGATTAATAGCCCTAAGACATCAGACAAGACAATTTCAACACTGGACCTCGTTTTGAAAATTCAAATTGTAATATTTAACATTTGTTAGAGACAGTTTGCCTTACCGTGCCCCTCTGTACCCCCCTTGGGCGGGTCACGTGATTTCTGCGACCATGTGCTCTTGGCAGTTTGATGTGCGTTGTTTTGTGTGTWGGCGGAAAGTTTGCTTTTACCTTCGCCTTTTACTTTCTCGATGTTGACATCTTGATTAAGCCTGAAGATGCCCAAAAATATGTAAGTGGTCGCTCATTTGTATTGTTTTTTTTTGTAATTCAATATTTGTTCGAGTCGCAAGCTTTACATTTGTAACTTTCAGCTGTACCGAACCGACGGAAGGACGAGTAACAGAATAAACATCTTCAGTGTACAATTTGTTTGTGGATTTCTTCAACAACATTCTTAAACAAATTTCCAAGGCAGCAAAGATGATGAAAATGACGAGATCGTCTCAGTTTGTCTGCTGACTTCAGCGCTTGTTCGGTTAACATTTTCGTCAATTCTCAGGTATTTTCTATTTAATTTCTTATTCAGAACATTACACGTTTAACTAGCTAGAACAGAACCTACATTAGGGAATTGTTTTTGTGAAGAGCAAAATATGGGTAAGTGTAAAAGGATTGTAAATTTTCGTCTGGACTTATCATAATTGCAACACAATGCACCTCCATTTGCCACATTTGGTTACAGGGGTATTTGAAAACTTGCATTTTGGTCAAAAAGGAATTTAATTCTACAGATCTCCTTTTCTTAACAGCACATTGTTGGACCTTGCGATTTCGTTAACTATCGAATAACATGAAATTCGAAAAATAGGAAAAAGGTAAGGACATATTTGTTCTGGATGTCTTTTATTCTAGGCAACTAATATGCATTATTTGCATTTCCAATTCGACACTTTATAAAAAAAAACGGCAAAACATCGTAACGACCCTTTCTCAAATAGAAAAAAGATCACCTGCTCTGAGGGAAATAACATTTCTGGAAGTACTCGCTTAATATTAGACCTAGCAGTGTATCTTTTCGATATCGTAATTATCCTAACCATAAATAGTCTGATTTAGATTGACATATTCATAACGACGAACATTTTTGGAATTGAGCGAGAAAATTAAACTTATTTATTTAGTGACTGCATGGACAACTCCAAGATAAACGGTGGTATCATCTGCATACTGCGTAACGTACAGTACATTTCTTTAATCAATTTTGCCGCCTTTTATTTCATTTGAGCGCCTAATGGCATTAGAATTTATATCCCAATAATAAAAAGGATGTCAGAAAGTGGGCAGGCTTGCCTGACTCTCTCCTTCCAAATTTAACTGCCCAGCGGCAAAAACGTTGTTAGGTGGCTGGCACATGTAACAGTTTCCAACACTTTCCAGCAGTGCTGAAAAAAAAAACAAAACAAAACAAAACAAAAACAAAAAAAACACAAAACAAAAATATCTCAATTTGTCTAAGTCATGTAAAATTTTTAAACGCGACATCGATAAGTTTTTATTAGCTGTATATTCTTAGCGTTTTTCATTAATTATTCTAAGAACTTTTTGTGATCAGATAATGAAAATTACTTTTAAGCATTTTCTGTTTCATCTGTTCGCTTTTAACTTTTATCTTGACTTGTATTTTAAACTTTAACGAACATTTTTGTTTGAGGACCTCCTTGAAAACCACTTTTAAGTGATGGAAGCATCCCCTTAAAAGATTTTTAATTATTAATTATTATTATTATTATTATTATTATTATTATCATTATTATTATTAGTTGAACTATGACGGGTCAATTCAATATCCCCACACTTGAACAAATGATTTTAAAATAGTCTTATCACAGAAATACCCAATCATCGGTCACATTAAATTTTCAAAGTTTGAAATGTCTCTGAATCCTACTTGCAGAATTTTTTAAATAAAAAGTTGCATCTTATCAAAATTCGGTAATAAAAATGAGTTTCATCGAACCGTTTCTGAATTATAAGCACCTAAAGCTAAAATCAGGATATTTTAAACAGGTTGTATCGTTGCCATGGAAACCTATTGTATCATGAAGATCACAACAACTTGTTCACCATTGGTTGGGTATTTGTGTGTTACCAATATTGTAACACAGCTGAAGAAGAGTGGTACTATTTATCCGTCAAAGTATAGTCACTTTAAGGATTCAACTTGAAATGTCATATGAGTTGTCATATTACTCTAATACACTGCCGTAGTTGCGGACCAAAGTTGTAAAGTTTCTAGGCATTTCTGATTATTCCTGGGTTTTTTTTTTCGAAATCTAGAAAAACGGAGAAGCCGGATTTTTTACGTCCTTATCTAAAAAAAGTCCTGATACTTTTCACTTTCTCCCTTTGACATAGCCTTGTAGACTAGTTTGTATGAATAATTTAGGTAGGACGTTTTCCAATTTGGGGCGATTTTATAATCATTTCTTGAAAGAGAAACTGGCCTTCAGTTTTCTTATTACATTGTTTTTCAGTATCAAGAACACTCGGGAAAGTTTGTGAGAAATCAAGAAGCATAGAAACACTACATTCGCTAGCGGCTCGTTTCCCACATCATTTCTCGTTTTCGTAAGCTTCCATTCGTGTTTATTTTACTCGAAAAAAGCTCGCAGAATGTTTTCCGTTCCCTTATTATTACATCACACATGAGCACAGCAATTAGAAAACCTTTCCGGTAGTAAAATTCCAGTCTTTTCTATTAATGCAGGAGTCATGGGCTCCAGAGTTTCCGGGGCAGATGGAGTTGGCTGTTTAGTTCCCATTAATTATCAACGTCAAATTTCTTCTTATGATATCGAGGCATACTCAAATACTAGGAAATGCATGAAAAACAGTAGGAAGATTTCCATAGCATTACACTGAGGACCGCGAGGGTGAAAGCTAAAATTTCGCAAAATTTTTTTGATGAATATTTCAAGAAA